TCAGTGGGGAGTTCGAAACTAGCTTGAGGTCGATAAGGCATTTGGTGGAGTAGAGCACAGTCAAAATCTCGCACCACTTCAGGCCTCTGAAGACGACGATAAGTCGAAACGTAAGGCCGCAATAAAGAGCTTCACCAAACCTCGTATGGCATAAGAAAACACTATCACATACTTCACGATGCCGAGGTTTCAACAAAAGAGGACAAGCCAACTGCCAATCGCCAGCATCAGTGTGACATAAATGTTGTCACTCAAATAAACAAAAACTCGCTGCATCATTTAGACAAATTGCTAAAGGAAAGATTAGAAGAGGGCCACATTGGAGGGAGAAAGCCAGAAATTTTACTGGTTGTATGGTCAGAACCACAGATACGGTGTGCATGTTGGCCACATACTTACGAAAACACACGATACGTCAGAAAATCGCGAGAAGCGGGTTTGACAGGCAATGTATCCCAAACTGATATGGATTCGGATCCCTACACAAAACAAAAGATTCACATAAGTGTTCTTAAACTTCTTCAGCCATAGTTCGTAATCATCACGTGTATCAAGCTTATCAAGCGGTAGCGGTTCGTTGTGAACAAGGTGTTTGATGCTTTTTCCTTTGTTTTATCTTTTGCTTTATTTTTTTTTCAATTTTTTTTTTGTTTCCACAATGTTAGATTCTCGCAGTTTGCGAAATCTGTTAGTGATGTTTGTGATGTTTTGAACAATTGCTAGAGTGCGCCCAACAATAACCAGGATTGGTGCGCATTTCCAAAGGCTTAGCTTACTGCCTTATTTTTCCCTTTTTCATATAACACAGGACGAATATCTCTTGATAGCTTCCTTGAATTACCGCATTTTCCTTATCGTGGAATGAAGATGAATTTTACCGCTATTGTTTCTACGAAAGTTGAATTGAAAGTAATTTGTAAGTGATTGTTGAAATTCATTTTTCTTCAAAGTCGATAAATCACTAGAAGGAACTGGAATTTTGCTACGAAAAGCAGCCTACGGACCGGTGTTGAAAACATATACGAGCAAAGTCGGCTCACACACGAAAGTTTTTATAAAGAACACACTAACAAACAGTTTACCAAAACTCCGCTATATATATATGAAGAGGGAACGCTGATTCCAATCTGCTTTGATTATCTGCAAAGTTAAAATTGATTTAGTGCTGTTCAACCTTTCACCACTACTATCGGAAAAGGAGGATTGCACTATTAATGTTGCATAGTTCGAGAGAAAGCGCACAGCTTGCAGCGGGTCGAATTAAGAATCTAGGGAAGAAGTCAAAAAGCTACTGTTTTCAGGATTTGGGGCTAACAAGAAAATGGTCAGAAATTGAAGTGGCCAATTTAAACAAACTGCATACCATTAGATGCAGCATGAAACGCTGAGTCAAAATATGTGTTTCATATCTGCTTGCTTAGCACCTATGTGGGCGAACTTATGAGCCGTTAAAGGTGTTACTTTGCTAGGAATTAGTGCAAATTTGGCAGTACAGAACCGTGAGCATGGAAACTGATTCCGAATCTGTTCTCATTATGCGCTTCAGCAAGGGGAGTTGAGGGAATTTTTTGAGACGAAATTTCAACACGCAGCCACAACGATATTGTTCGGCATTGTAGCCTGTGAGCTTCAACGAGATCATGATTAGCCAGGTTGCTTCATGCAGTTAGTACCTGCAATTTATAAACTTATGCTAGTCATTACTCCATTCAAGTGCGGGGAAGGGCTCAATACATGTTACCTCAGCTATACCCTTATGTCTTTGCCTCAAAAAATTCTCATAAGTCCACCCTCCCAGAAGCGCTTTGCAATTATCGAAAGCAGATTTGGATTCAACGTTTCTAAAAGCAAAGCGGAAGTTTGCGAAGCATTCTATAAGACGCTCTACATCTCATGTGGAAACTCCACTTAAATCAAATATCATTCCTTTGTAAGATTTTTTCTGGCCCAGATCCTGCAACCGGCAAAACAATAGCCCTTTGCTTTCATTCCCAGAAACGATACCCATTCGACCGGCTGTGGGCTCGAACTATGCAACATTCAAAGTGAAATTCCAAAAGACTATACACGCCTTTTGTCTGATATAGGAATCTGCGTGATTGAGAGTCGGTGAACTTGCGGCCATCGCACACGTACGATGCCACAAAGCCTCAAATCAGTTAAACAATCCAGTACTTTTCAAAATCGTTTCAGGTAATTGGAAGCTAACATTTTAGCATGTGGGCGTTTCAAACCAGATAGATTAGACGAAAGAAACCCGATATGGCTGCAAACTCATCGACTCTCTAATCACGCAGAGCCTTAGAGTCTTGTTGAAAGGTTAAAATTTGCGCCAAATCAACATTGATAGTGCGAATGCACTTCAGATAACAATTGTATGGTAAAAAGTTTCCTGCCTTCAAACATTTCGCGAATCAAGATAGAAGAAAGGGAGAACAGGTGGAAGAAACTGGTTGGTCCGTGACTTATGCGAAAGTCAGAGAGGTTCTAGCGAAGTCAGCCAAAGTTGCAGTCGTTAAAGCACTTTCTTGCAAGAAGAAGTGATGGACCTTTATTCGTGGAACAATTTCGAATACATATAGCTCCACTATCATTGTTGCCTATGAGAAAACGCCACGGTTCTTGTATCAGATTGAACCGTCGATAGTGAATAAACAGTAATGATTGTAGGAGTAATAAGAAAACGTTTGAGCACCAATGGGTTTGTCTTGCACAAAGATCAAGGATTTCACTTGTTTGAAAAAGAATGAACAAAGTGCTTTATAATACTATTGAGAAACTAAACAACATCTGATGCGATATTTATCATCCTTCAGTTTGGAAATCTGAATGGTTACAGGGTGCAGGCGCGTCATGCACTCCCCCCCCCCTTTCCCCCCGATTGTAACTGACCCATGGCGAAGACGATTACCCAAATAAGCTGAAGGCATACGAAACTGATGCGCAAACGGCGCGCGAAATGTTATCATAGAGCGCGTGTCGCAATAGCTAGCCAGTCGCCTTGGGGTCCATGCTTTTCTTGTATTCCGGCTCGTACATTCCTATATTCTGAACTCTTCTCAACGCTTTCACTAGGAGGTAAGCTACTGTTCACAAACTTCCCCGGTATACATGTCTTGTCAACATTTTTGTATGCATGACCACAATAATCGTTCACTGTAAATGCGCTTTCATAGATGCGTACCTCGTCAATCCTCTATGTGCCCTTTCTTTTCTATCTTCAATTTTTCGCATGCATTCATTTTTTCTGGTTATTTTTCTCCTGTATGTCTTGATTTCTGCGCATGTGCCGATTCTGATTAGCAGCTGCGCGCGCTCGCCTGTCTCGCATGCGCACAGCTTGTTAGGGTGACCCTCGTCATGGAACAGATGTTACCTAAAACTAAATTGCTGCCGGGCTCATGCGCGTCTCGGAGCCTGCGGAGACACGATCGCGAGTTAATGCATGCTGTCGCGGATTCGCGACTTCCTTCAAAAGTTGCCGCCGCCGCGCTGCATAAGGGTCCCAAAACACCGTCCTCGCGCTGTCCCGCCTCTCACCTCTCTCACCGCGCAGCGTTTAAATAAGTCAAGTACGCATTCTTTACTATCGACCGCTCACTTGTGTCGCTATCGTGAGCGGTCGGGTTCCAATTCGTCTCATGCCATCGATCGATCCAGCGCCATCCCAACTCAAGCGTCAATTCCATTTACGCCACGGAAGACTGGCCCCCGCGCTACGAGGTAACTCCGAGCGCGCTCGCGCCTGGCACACGCCGGCGACACCGCCTCGGGAGGTTTCCGATATTGCCGGCTCCTAGGTTCAACATCCGTCTGGTTGTGCTCCACCTGTATGTTTGAGTGTAGGTAGTTACGGATAAATGGTGGGCATTTTACAGAGTGTGATTCCTTTGATGCGGTGAGCCACAGCTCGGCTGTGGCTCCGGGTACATTTCATGTCATCATAATTATTGTGTATTTATAATCACGCCTAGTACGATCCATCTATTAAAGGCTGGCACAATCCTAGGTGGTGCCTTGGTTATAATTACCGTGCCCCAACTGTCAATAGTTGGGATGATGAGTCGAGTCGCAAGGTTCGAGTAACTTTCCTTCCTGCTAAGTAGGCTGGTGGCAAGGGCCTCTACGTGTGTATGGAGTGTCCATGTGGCAGGCACAAGTTGCATTCTCACAGTCAGCCACCACATATGATAGTTACACTTTCTCCCGGATGGGACCCCTGGCTCCCCTCGCCGATGCAGGAGGGGCCTGACCACTGACGTTGGGAGCTGGGGGCCCAATCCGCAACACATGCCAAGAACGCTAACATAAACTTTTGAGCCGTACGCACGCTGTTTTTTATTTTCGTTCTTTCTTTCATCTCTTCACGGTCTTTATGCACAATTATAGTGCATGAAGACCGTGAATGCACAGTCTTGAATGCACGCTTACTCTACAATGGTAAAGTCAACATCAAGGAGTTGAGATCGTTTTCAACAAAGAGTGCCGGAGAGGGTCAAATAAGATCTGAATAACAATCACTCATACTTGTTGTATTGGCTAAAACTTCAAAACATCAAGAGTATTGAAGATTGAATAATCGTTTATACTAGATGAGGACCTTCCAAAGCAAACTGATTCATCGAAAGTGCACTGATTTTTACTGGGTGGTAAGTTCTGGCGTTTTGTCCTAGCCTGTACATGGAAGAGAATTTTGTAACATGATGTAAGTTGTGTAAGTTATGTAAGTTCTTGTTGTAAAATTCTCAATAAAGGAAATCATTTAATCACTTAAGAAAACAAATTTTTCTGGAGCAGATCTGTTTATTCCGATGTAAAGTAAAAAGGTTGTAATCAGATTTGCTAATTATATCGAACCCCACCATCAGTATAATATTTGGACCTTACACTAAGAAACAACATGCGCCCAATGGTCCGACGATCAAGGCTGATTGGCACAAGAAAAAAATGTTAAACATGTCTAAGGATACCTAATAGGTGTTATCACTGCGATATAAAGTTTATGGACGAAGAGTCAAGGCGATATTGACATCCTCGATATAAACCTTTTTCGCCTTCCTGTAAAGTAAAACAGATATGCCAAGCAGTATCTGCACGAACGTCATCACCGATGTGCCAAGAAATAGTCCAATCTGTCCTCCTAACTCAGAAAGGAGTTGCACACCTGTCGTCAGCCGTATTTCAGTGTACTCTTCGTACTGCAATATCCAATGTAGGATGCGAAAGATCAAGCACATGTCTAGTATTTTTGACGGATAAAGGCAGTGGCTAGACGAACTTGACCCAGAAAATTACTGCGCACTCAAAGTTATCCAATGCCTTAGTCTCGAAAACCGCTTGAGAGAGGGCGAAAATCGTGCAAAACTGATTTGCGCGCACAAATTTGAGCTATATCGCGTCTGGACCGTTTTCGTATTGAGGGATAAGCAACCACCACAAAAAGAATGAGTTCGGTTTGCCGAGCCATTCCTTTTATATAGTGTTCCAGTGTTGCCAAATACATTCGCGCGCCATAATGGCATTGCGCGCTCCACGAGCTTTTACACTAAAGTGAAAAGCAATTTGCCTGCGTTATATACTTTGTACCGAATCGAATAATTATTCATTCATTCAATGAAATCATTCGAATGCGAGTGATTGAAATTTTTCATTTTAGAACATTATTTGAAAGTCGAACATTCAAAAATCTCAACTTTCGAATATTGATCGTTAGTGAACACTTGATGTTCATCAATCCGATCATTCGATGTTCACCGATTACGAATATTATGAGCACCGAATATTCGAAAGTGCCAAAAGTATCTACACGCTGTTTAATCTTATATATAAAGCTGAATGTCTGTTTATGTATGTCTGTCTGTCTGTATGTATGTCTGTGTGTACGTATGTTCCGAATAGAAAATTCCATTTCTGAACCGATCCGGACCAAACTTGGCACACATACACTTCGGGCCCCGGCGGGTGTCATAGGCTACTTTTCGTCATCGATCGATATCGATTTTATCGATTTTAATCGATTTTTTTGCTGAGTTCACCTACGGGGCTGGGAGTTGGCACAGGGGGTAATCGAGCATGGGGATTCCGAATACAATATTGGTTTTCAGGATTATCGATTACTTTTATCGATTTTATCGATTTTTTTGCAAAGTTTGAGCTACGGGGCTGGGAGTTGGCACAGGGGGGTAATCGAGCATGGGGATTCCGAATACAATATTGGTTTTCAGGATTATCGATTACTTTTATCGATTTTATCGATTTTTTTGCAAAGTTTGAGCTACGGGGCTGGGAGTTGGCACAGGGGGGTAATCGAGCATGCTGATCACCCCCAAGGGGGGTAATCAGCATGCTCGATTACACTCCTGTGCCAAATTCCAGCCCCCTAGCTCAAATTTTCAAAAAATCGATAAAATCGAAAAAGTAATGGACGATCCTGAAAACTAATATTGTGTTCGTAATCTGCATGCTCGATTACCCCCCTGTGCAAACTCCCAGCCCCGCAGGTCAAACTTTACAAAAAAATCGATAAAATCGATAAAAGTAATGGACGATCCTGAAAACTAATGTTGTATTCGGAATCCCCATGCTCACTTCCCCCCTGTGCCAACTCCTAGCCCTGTAGGTGAACTCTGCAAAAAAATCGATAAAAATCGGTAAAATCGACATCGATCGATAACGAAAAGTGGACTGTGACACCCGCCGGGGCCCGAAGTGTATGTGTGCCAAGTTTGGTCCGGATACGGCGGAGCCGGGTAAGCCAGCTAGTCGCTAATATTTTCCTTACTAAGTCTTTTGCTGACCATTGGGTAACATTCTGTGAAGTTGGCTTCAGGTTACATTCGCAAAAAGCGGATTTCTATGGATAGGAACTACCAGCATGACAGAGCAACTGCGATAAGAAATTTGAAAGAACATCGCCAAAAAATCTAAAATTTATGTGACAAAGTTACATATGCAGCTTTTACTACAATTTTGAGCTTTACAAGTGCGAAATCATGTCTTTGAAAAGCACTGAACATTCGCTACGGTGTTGGCATAACTTGTGAAATACGGTTGGGCGCAATTATCTAGGATGAGTGACTCTAAAAGTCTAATGTAAGATAGCCAGTTTTTTGTTTCCTTCTTAGGCAACGGCTCTCAATTGTCAAAGTCCTCTTCAATAATCCTACTGCGATCTTGTAATGAAGAGATGATGAATCGCTTCATACTTTTAAGTTGAAATCAGCCCTACAGAATGATACTTAGAGTTTGGTAAAAGACTTTGCGGGAGAAAATTGTTAGTGAATTTTCTCTTCCGTTGGCTTGCCTGAATTGATTTCTTCAATTTATAAACCAGACTTTTGAATCTTATCTACACTTACAAACTTGTTGATTTTTAATCAAATGGTTTACTCTGAAAAGAATATAGTTAAAATAATTCAAACTGACAAACCACCCTGATAGTTTTGATCCGTTGACTTAAACAGTTCGTTTAACATACTAACTTATGCCAAAGAACTTTATCCCGCCTTAAAGTTATACCTAGAAAACAAACTGTCCGAAAAATTTGAATTTAGTAAGGCTTGCAATACCCCCATAAAACTTTTATAGGTTTAAAATTTGACTATGTAAAAACCAAAAATTTGTTAAATTTACCTAATGATGAAGTTTAAAAAAATCTTCTTTTTATTGGGAAAGCAATGCTAGCTGAACAGTAGGCAAGACAGTTCGTGTATATCTCAGTACTTGCTCAATATCACTACAAAATGATCTTCCTTAAATTTGTGAAACCGTCGTTTCAAAACCCGTCATAGGAGTAGGTTTTCAGGTTTTTTAAGTTTCCAGATGTCGCCGCTAAGAACTTCCTTTTTTTCCGTCAAAAATTGTAATGTAAAAAAGTGTCTATTTTTGATATCTACGTAAATAGCTTATTGTTAGGTATTTTGTCTCCCATAGGCGGTCATCTGGTTTATTCAATTTATTTGGATTTCAAAATCGAATAATATTCGAGAACCGAATAATAATGGAAAGTCGAATAACATGACGCTTGTTTTTGTGCAATTGCTATCGCCACCGCAGGAGCACTTTTTAGACCGTTGAATCTACTATATCGTAAAAATTTCTTGACTTACTTCCAATTCGCTAAAAGACGCTTCCACACGAAAAGCATGTTGTCTTACAGGACTCAAATCCATACTAGATGTCAATCGCCAGCGATTTTCCGTGCGTTGACATGCTGGGAGACACTGTATAAATTTTGAATATTGATTGAATTTGAAGATATATGTTTAGAAAGAACCCACACCATAATCGTCACCAACTGTTGAGGTCACATTTTTATAATTTTGTACTATAATTTCTGGCTCGCATGTTGGAACTGTGGCTAGATAAGGTAACATAGCCTTGAATGGAGGGCTTGTGCAATTCAAAGAATCGACAAATACTCGATTCATCCAACTGTACACAAAGCAAGTCGATTTACCTGGAAAATCTAACTTTGGCCAAGGCATATGGGCAAAATTTCACAGAAGTCCGAAAAAGATCTGAATGTACCTTGATCGCGTGGGTCAACTGAGCAAGAGTTATGTTCTGGTAGCATTACTATCTTCCGCTGAGAGAAATGAAGGCGATTCCAGTCATTGAAACTTAGGTATAAACGGGGATACAGGCCAACTTCAGGATAAGAATCGCTTATGTGAACTATTAATTGCGGCTGCAAGAATAAATGAGGTAACTTATCAAATTGAAATTTTGCAAAAAATACCCGAGTATTGTTTCCCAAGAGCGTTCCTTGAATTTTCTTGAAGAAGAGTGAAAGTTTGAATGTTTCATCGACATCCCTTTGATAATAGTCGTCGACAAGGCGGAAACATCTGTAATGAGAAGTAACAACTTCTATCATACGTAGTATCCGAAAAAATGTAAAGGGTTTGATTTTAAGAACTCTCTTGTATAAAATGCTTGTGCGACATTTGGAGATCATATTGTAGAGCTGGCTTCAACTTATCAGATTAACAGCATGAAGCAAACCATCAAACTCTCTTCGTTACTGTAGAGTTACGGTAGAAACTTACAGAACGTAACACCATCGATATATAAAGCTGAATGTCTGTCTGTGTGTCTGTATGTCTGTCTGCACGTACGTTCATAGCAAAATTCTATTTGTGAATCGATTTGGACCAAACTTGGAACACATACACATCGGGGTGGGAAAGGTGTCGTAGGCTACTTTTCGTTATAGATCGATATCTAGTTACAGATTTTTTGCAAAGTTAAGCTACGGGGCTGGGAGTTGGCACGGGGGGAGAGGGGGGGGGCTTATCGAGCATGCTGATTACAAATACAAAATTAGTTTCCAAAATTATCCGTTGTTTTTATCGATTTTATCGATTTATTGCGAAGTTTGAGGCTAGGAGGGGCTGGGAGGTGGCGCAGGAAGGGGGGGGGGGTAAGTGAGCATGCTGACTAACCCAGCGGAAATAGGGAATTGGCATGTAGAAGTGGGCACAGAAAGGCAGGGAAGGGTTGTATGGGGATAGGGATGGGAAATTTATCATATCGTTTTGGCAGGTCTGGGCGAAGCCGGGTTTAACAGCTAGTTACCTATAAAAACACAAAGAATTCACGTTTATGCTTACGAAGGTTCATACTATAGAATTACCTATGTAGGAAGCCCAGTGCAGCTCTGGCAAGAACATAAAAACTATTTTCTCTTCATTTTTGGCTAACGAAAAAATAAGTAAATTTACATTCAAATACTTTGAGCGGAGACACGGTTTTCTCTTTACCTAGATCTTTTCAGAACTCGGCTTCGAACGTTATTTGAAACAAATTTGATTGGGTTGCTGCCTTGTTTAGCTTGCTTTGCCCTGTCGAATGATAATGCAAAAGATAAGTAAGATAAGTGTATACCGTGACGGTGAGGGGCTGCGTTTGACACTGCTCTGTATACAATTTCGTTTTCTTACTTTCTTGTATATTCTGCTTGAAATTCCATTCCATAGATCCTTGATTCATAAGCTTTTTTCACTGCTCACAGCAACTCTTTCTTTCACGAGTCTTTAATCTGACACAAATCAAGTTTCGAATTTTTCTGGGTTTGCCTCAATTGATAACCTCACATCGCTCATGCTTTCCCGCTCCGGTAGGTCAAATACTCAGACCACTTCTGCCCGTAACTCCAGAAAGACTGTTTCTGCTTTTCAAACTCAATTTGCTAAAAATGACTTGGTTGATTGTAGTGCCGATGACGACAATCTTAGCAACCTTTCTGCGACACAGCTGATTCATTCAATTTTGGAGAGGGATTCCGACACAGTAATTGAAAAGATGCTCCTAGATTGAAAGCTAAGATTCCTCCGGATGTCGAGGCCGAGAAAAGAAACCGAAGCATTGTCTTAGCTGGGCTGGAAGGGTCTGAGCCCGATAAGCCACTTTTGGAGCGGAAGGCTGAGCTTGAAAGAGGTGTAGTTTTAGAGGCCTTACAGGTAGACTGCTGCCCTATAGAGATCTACAGCATGGGCAAATACGATCGGATTAAACCAAGATTGGTTAAGATCATCTTTCCCTCCCGGCGTTTCTGGGTCCAGGCACTGGCCCGTAGTAAAGCTCGGTCATGGGAGATTATCTCCCCTGAGACCTTCATGTGAGGTTCTGTCAGTAAAATGAAGACTGCTCATTTCCCCATGTTATAGGGATGCAACTCACCTGAGAGGTGGGCCTCAGGTGAAGTTCGGCAGGGAGATGATCTCCCTGCCGGGTCATGGGAGATGATATGAGCGATGATTTCCAGAAATAGTGTGCTAAAGAGGAAACGCAGAGAAAATTTTCGTAAGTTGCTCCTGAGTAACTTACGATACACAGCAATTTGCCTAACACTGCGTACAAAATCGGCGCAAAATTGCACAACCGCGCCCGAAAAGGAGAGGATCGATGAACAGCTGATTTTGGCGAGGAAGACAGAAAAAACAAATTCTTCTCTTTTTTGTAAATTTTACTGGTTTTTTTGAAGCTGCCCAAAAAGAGGACTCATTTGTTCATTTCATTGAATTCATGTTGCAACCATTTAGTTTTGTCGCAAAATTTTTGTAGCGAAATGTTTTTTGGTTTTATCTTTGCGTTTGCTAGGCGAAATCCTTGATAGCGGTCATCATCGATTGGATAGTGGCCGCTATCAAAGATTGCCCGGCGTTGCAGCAAAAGTTGTGTCGCTAGGCGGAGTCGAACCACGGCCGCGCGCGTCTAATTCCAGTGGCTTACCCATTTAACCAAATCGAATCAAGTAGCTGTTTTTTCGAGAACGCACTTGATTATAATGTCCAGGAAGCGATCTGTATCCAGATCAATAGCTCGCCGGATGCTGGACTGAGGCGCCAAGATATCAACTCCGGTCCTCCTCAGGGGAGATGCCCTGACGGTAGTTTACTACGGGCCACTGTCTAACTCTCATCTAGCCTGCAAGGGAGGGAGTCGTATATAGAGGCGGGCTCCATCATGTTTCAGAGCTCCCTCCGTCGGGTACAGGGAAACGCCTAGATGTGCCTGGAACTTCTGGACTTCTCAAATGCTTTTTTTTTTCAATTCTCGCAGTTTAGCCAGCAAAGTACATCTTCTACAGGCATTTTTAGTTACCAATCTACCAGGTTTTTGTACATCACAGAGACATGGTTTAGTTCAAAAATTCTTGACTCCGAATTTATCGCAAATCTTCCATATTCCTTGTTTCGCACTGACCGAAAGCGGGGTAAGGGTGGTGGTGTTGTTTGATCAAGGAAGATTATGCCGTGGAGAAAGTTTGCGCTGCCAATGATTGTAAGTGGGAAATTCTCTGCCTTAACATCTGGTCCCCATCTTGTTCCCCTCTTACGTTTATCACTGTATATCCTTTTCTTCCAACTCTCGCGATGATTCTTCTCTGACGTACGCTATCCAAGATTTGTGTTCTCTTCCATTACCGACTATCGTTTTGGGAGATTTCAACATCGACTTTTTGTCTTCTTTTAGCAATAGAAACTAGCTTTCTTTTCTGTACGATTGGTCTTCAGCAGAATGTAATATTTACTAGAGGAGGGGCAGCCATTGATTTGATATTTTCTTCCCATAACGTAATTAAAAACGTAAAGCCTCTCCCACCTTTTGTTCTTCGAACCATAATGCGGTTGTATTCAACGTTAAATTCATTGTTTGTAAAACTGCTTTTATCCCAGATTTTCATAAACCTCTTAGAAGTCAGTAAAGCTCTTGAAGGAATCATTTGGAGTAATATTTTTGAAAACTATTAGGTTGGTGCAAAAGTTCGTTCTCACCAAATTCAAAAATTCATAACTTGTTGAATTCTTAAAGAATTTGCGAGATCTAAATTTTGCTTAAGAGAGGAACTCATGCTCTTTGCACATGTTCCTGAATTGTTCGTCAATGTTTACAAATGAAGGAGATAGAAGCTTAAAACCAAAACTCAAAATTTGAATTTTTTGTGTAGGGTCATAAAAAATCGGAAACTTGCAAGAAAAATTGGGGCAGTCAGTATTGTAGGCTCTTTTACCAGCTCTTTCTAAAAGTGCAAAGTTTGCGTCGATTGAGCGTCTCTATCAAAAGTTATGATTTCCCTGAAAAATGCCAAAATAAATCAAATTCGCCCTTTTGTATTGCTTGCTCGAAAATCATAACTTTTGATAGAGAAGCTCAATCGACGCAAACTTTGCACCATTAGAAAGAGCTGGTAAAAGAACCTACGATACTGATTGTTCCGATTTTTGTTGCAAGTTTCCGATATTTTATGACCCTACACGAAAAGTTAAGTTTTGAGTGATTTTGGTTTTGAGTTTCTATCTCCTTCATTTGTAAACATTAACGAACAGTTCAGGAACAGGTGCAAAAAGCATGAGTTCCTCTCTCAAGCAAAATTTAGATCTCGCAAATTCGTTGAGAACTTAAAGAGTTATGAATTTTTGAATTTGGTGCAAAACGAACTTTTGCACCAACCTAATACGAATCCGTTGAAAGTCTTTACAAGCGTTTCTGTAGGAAACTTTATCTGATATTTTCTCAGCACGTTCCCTTTCGTTTTTCGCCGTTGCAGATACAGAAATATCCTGCTCATATTCAAAAATTGTTGGAGCAGAAGTCTCGACTTTTCTCGCAATTGAATGACCCGCTGCACGATGCTCTATACAGAAAGTTTGTAAAGATATCAGCCATCATATCAAAAAATTCTTCGCAAATCGGAAACGACGTCTTTTTAGATACAACTTCAGGGAGCTTTATTGGTTTCTTAAAAGTATCACCAAAGGACAACAAAAGATTAGTAACCTAACAGATGAACAAGGGCAATTGCTTATAAGCAAAAAGGACAAAGCTGAAGCATTGGGGAATTACTTCGCTTGTTTTTTCACCAACACTCTCAAGCAGTCGACAAAATGAAACTCTTTTCTGTGACACTTGTGTTCGCGTAGATTCTTGTTGTCCAAACATATATATCGAACCTTCGAAGGTCTATGACATTTTGAGAAAACTCGAAGCAACAACAACGCTTGCATATGACGGAATCCTACAAATTGTACTACGTAGATGTGCTCACACCTTGTCATTCCCCTTAACTTTCATATTTAATGCGTCTCTTCCATTCGGAGAAGTACCAAAAGTTTGGAAAGAAGCTCTTGTAACAGCCATACCTAAGAGTGATCACAGTAATGTCCTTTCTAATTTCCGTCCTATCAGCATCACTGCATCCGTTGGAAAGGTTCTTGAGACGCTCATTAAAGAGACTCTGTGTGCATGGTTAGAAAGAAGCAACATCATTCTTTTAGCCCAACACGGCTTTCTTCCTGGGGGATCCACTACTGCTTTGTTCAGACTCAGTCTTTGACTGGATCAGTGCAATGAATTACGGTAAATCAGTGGATATTGTGTTTTTCGATCTTTCTAAAGCATTCGACAGAGTCTCCCATACCAAGTTCCTCTTCAATGGAAAATTATGGTGTGCGTGGTCAACTGCTTTCTTGGATAACATCTTACCTACAAGATCGAGGTATGACTATCCGTGTTGGGTCTAGTTTTTCAACTCGCTTCCCTTGCAATAGTGGAGTGCCTCAGGGCGGAATACTGTTGCCCCTCTTTTTTCTCATTTACACTGCAGAATGCCGTCTTTTTTGAAGACTCGCCCTGATATCAAAATTCAAATTTTTGCAGACGACATAAAGTTATACTTTTGCTACCATGAAACAGAAAAAAACATAGCATGTGAGGCATTTTCTCAATCCATAGAGAAGATGGTGCTTTGGTCAAAAGAGTGGGGCCTTCCAGTAAATGCTCTTAAATCGAAAGTCATGCATCTGGGAGACTGTCCACCACACACTTACGTGTGTGACGGGATAGTTCTTGAGCAGTGTAACGTTACTAGGGATCTTGGTGTGCTTGTCGACGATCAACACAATTTTTGTGTACAATATGAATCAGTCACCAAGAAAGCTCTGACCGTTCTTTTTGTTATTCTGAAGAACATTCATAGCAATGATGCAAAACTCTTGGTGCGCTTGTATAAGACCTATGTCTTACCTCTTCTTACATACGCTTCGCCCGTTTAAAATCCTTTTTCAAAAAGTATGTTGAAAAGCTAGAAAAAGTCCAAAAAGCATCTACTATAATTGTCTTTTTACAGATGCTAGCCAAACTCTGATTACCCTCAAGCTTTGCCTGCGTATGGCTTGAGACTATCCACTTTGGGTCTACGTAGTCTGAGATACAGAAGAATATGCAATGATTTAGTATTCTGCTTTCGCATTATTCGTTTGGAAACCAGACTGAGACCGAGTAAATCCTGGGTCTTCAGACCTTGCGGAAACCGAACGGGAGGTTTTTCAATGTGGTACCGCAAGTTAGGGAACAGGATTTGTTCGAGTATTTTTCAACTCTTTCATTTGCCGCACAGCAAGGTGGCTTAGTCAGCTTCCGAATAAGATAACTTCCTGCAGTCTTCAAGATTTCGCAAAAAGCTAGTCATCATAGCTGTTATGCAGACTTTGGGAATACTTGACTTCTGAACACTAAGATTTACAAGATCTTCGGTAAATTCCGCACAAATTTTCTTGCTTCGAAGGCAATTCGTATGTTTGCTGCATTTTTTGGAGACATTCGAGCAATCTTCTTCAAAAATTGAGCGATCAAAGAAATTCGTGGACCTTCCTTTCACAAGCAGTGTGGTCTTTTTTCCATGTGTAGTGGAGTTGCGGTTATCCTCGCGCTAGGTGGTCGATGCCCTGTCTTATCACTTCGAGCGACCTTTCGCGCGCAGATAGCGACTGATTCTGTGAACCCTGTATACTCAGTTTGGAGATTGAGCCATGCGTGTCAAAACAGTTTCTTAAAAGGTGTTACCTAGTTTTTGAAGGAATTTGATGTTTTTGATTGATTTTTCACAGGTCAACAAGCCTTTTTACAGTCTATCAATATTTCCAAGGGCTTTAAAAAGTTTTCTTTGCTTGAGTAGCCGTTTGAGGAGATCGAAGACTAGTGAGCCTTTGCCTTGATATCCCCCTTCTCGCTCGCCCAGGGTCCCTGACGGATTCGTCCGCTTTGGGTTAAGTTGTCATCCAGGCCCTGGTAATTTATTACATCCCCATGCGTACGGGTAAGGAAAAAGGATCTCGGTGGAGGCCCACTCACTTCTTGGAGATGGAGAGCGGCCTGATCATCCAGCAGGGGACAAGATCCAAGCCCGATTGTTTTGTATGTTTATGTTTTGTATTCTTTTGACTTCTATTTTTTTGGCACACTTTCGGGTATTATAAATAAACCAGTGCGTCACCTCTGTTTCGCAGAGGCTCGCACAGCTTCTACTATCCACATCCTTCCTTCCTCGTAGTCGCGAACTCATGGCTTTGAAACTTACCATGCGATGCCGATCATCACAAATGAATCGTAAACAACCACTCATTCTAAAAGCTTTTTCGTCTATGATCGGTGACTTCGAGGGGAAGAAAGTTTTCTCCAAAAGATCAAATGCGAGTTTGAATCAATTACTGGAGGTGTGATGGCTTAATAGTCGCCAGAAGGATGATGACAACAGTGAGTTACATCACTGAACAAAAATCTTCTCTGATCCTTGGGTAAAACCTTGACAAATCGACTGTCTACGCAATTATTCCTTTTTGGCGCCAGTCTTGCGTAAAAGCAGATTTTTTGCCCAATTTTCGGGCCGGAGTCCATGGTTTGCGGATTTACTTTCAAACAAATCCACGACTTTGAAAAAAGTCTAAATACAGGCCCACTTTGGCGCGCCAAAAGTTGCGTGGACCCGCTTGGCGCACTGTTTCCAATGGTTCCTCCCATCGGATCGTCTTCTGCTTTTGCTCAGTTGATTTGATAGGGTGCCACGGCCAAAATTCTAGCTCAAAACTTTTGCTGGAACCTGCTCTATGAATTTCGTGACAGACAGACATTCAGACACACACACACAAAAACACGCTAACAACCCTTAGTCCGTTATGTTATGATAAATAATAAAAATAAAATCAATTCAAAAACCGTAAGAATATAAGTTAGTGAGGGAGAAATCCAAAACGGTGAACAATTATGGGACATTCAAATACAAGGGAGTTATTAAAGTAAGGCAAACATGCTTACCTTCCTCTCATCATTACAAACGTCGGTTCAAAAATCCTGCAACAATCCAGCGTCACTGATCCCTCATAACACTCGCTGAACATCTGAATATGTAGATCAAAGGAAAGGGATGTGTAAGTACTTAGCCAAAAGACTGTTCTCACCTCGGTGCAATTGTAACCGTTTTTGTCGAAAACAAAATCAAACATTTGTCCTTGAGTTCGATTTCCCCTCCATTTCTTGAATAAATTGTTGAGATCGAATCTGACAAGGTCCACTGCTTCACTTTCAAAAATATTTGGGAAAAGTTATAAAAGTAATAAAAGAATTAAATAAAAGTAAAATAAAAGTAGTAAAAGTAATAAAAGTAAATGAAATTAAAGTAAACTAACTTACTTATTTTCGTCAGTCCACTTATCCACATTGACGTTATCAATCCCACTTCCAGCAATGAGATAACGGAGCACGTCGTAACCGACCTCATCGGATATGTCTCCCACTCTCAATCGCATATCTAAGCTACGATATGCAGTTGGCAATCTTTTAATCTCTTTGACTCATACAAACACTAAGAAGAATTGTCAAATGAATGCGCAGAACAATGGAGTATTCATTTATTATCGAGAATTTATGCATTAGTACCTTTCCCTCTGTTTGAGTTCTAACACTGTTTCTTTTTTCCCCGAATCTGGTGGTACTTACTAACTTGTTGTTATAGCGCGCCTTTGGTGTCATAATAAACAAATAAATAAATAAAGGGGCAACATCAACCTTTTGCAATATCAGAATCAGTGTTTTCTACGATTATCTATATCAGAGCGGATTGGTACAAGAGTTCCCAACAAAATTAATATGGATATATAAATTTTGAACAGTACAACAGCAAAATTGCACAGTTGAAATACAGGTCCCAAAAAAATGTGCCTACTTTTTGACTGCCAGTAACTCCCTGTAATTGATCTTTAGAGAAACTTTGGGTATCATTTTGTAGAGCTAGCTTCAATATAAACCTATGCACTTACTGAATAAATTTTTTATTACTCTTCATTACTGTAGGATTACGGTGGGAATTCCAGGATACAATGCCGTTGTGAAACGAGCCCTTGGTAAGAAAGACTTCCATAAAATTTTTTTTGGAAATTTGTGCATCAGGGTTTTCGGGCATGTTGATTTCATTGCACAACTCTTTACAAGATTTTTGAGCTTTTTTTAGTGGTGTAATTAGATTTTCGAAGAACACTGGAAAAGCTGTCACGATTTCTTGTAACTTTTGGGGGAAGCATGTTTGATGGCGAACTTCTTATTTGGATGTAGCAATTTTGATTAGCATGGTGTGAAAATTTTGCTTGTTCGTTATTTCAAACAAAATGCGATTCTTAATGGCTTAAATCTACCGTAATAATACAGCAGGAACTTCTAGGAGGGTTTTAACATTAAGAGTCGCATTTTGTTTAGAAAAAAATAGGTGATTCGCCCTGCACTGTAAATCAAGTTGAAGTTAGCTGGTATCTGAAGTCTTCCAAAAAACTTCATTACAAGAGAGCTGTTAAAAATCAAACAGTAGTCACATGTTCTGAAACAGTCGTCAACTATTGAGTCCTAACACTTATTGCTGAGGTCCCAGGCGTTTTTGAGAATTTTGCTCTGTCAGAGGGCGCGGATCACCGACCTACCGATCTACAGTGGCGGGAAGAAAATCCCGCGCTGACCCCTTCGGCAGGGTATAAATACCGGGAGTCAGAGGGAGGCCTCAGAATCGCGCTGAGGAAGCGCTAGCGGGAGCTAACTCCGTCGAAGAGAGGCGGATCTCCCCCTCAGATAGAGAGTTCATCCAGTCAGCCTGCCGAAGAGGTTAAAGAGTGTAAAGCCCGCTGTTTCGTTGTTAAGCCTGTTCAAGTTACACGTTCTTGTTTTCTTGTTGTTCGTTGTCGGCAGGCTGACTGGATGAACTCCCTATCTAAGGGTGAGATCCGCCTCTCTTCGACGGAGTTAGTTCCCGCTAGCGCTTCCTCAGCGCGGACTCTGAGGCCTCCCTCTGACTCCCGGTATTTATACCTGCCGAAGGGGTCAGCGCAGGATTTTCTTCCCGCCACTGTAGATCGGTAGGTCGGTGATCCGCGCCCTCTGACAGCTCTCTATACACGATTACATCAACGTGTCGAGAAGAGACTTATTTAACTACTAGCTGGCTTGCCCGGCTCCGCTCGGCCCTGTCAAAACACTATGATAAAGCTCTTATCCGTATCCTTGTACAGCCTTTCCTTGTGCCCACGTCCACATGCCATTTCCCTATTTCCGCTGTTTTAATAATCAGCATGCTCAATTACCCCCTGTGCCAACTCCCAACCCCGCTGCTCAAAATTTGCCAAGAAATCGTTAAAACCGATAAAAGTAATGGATAATTCTGAAAACTAATATAGTATTCGTAATCAGCATGCTCGATTACCCCCATATGCCAACTCCCGACCCCGTAGCTCAAATTTTGCAAAAAATTGATAAAATCGATAAAATCGAAATCGATCGATGACGAAAAGTAGCCTATGACACCTGCCCCGCCCCGAGGTGTATGTGAGCTAAGTTTGGTCCGGATCGGTTCAGAAATGGATTCTGTTCGGAACATACGTACAGACAGACACACAGACAGACAGACATACAGACATACATACAGACAGACAAGCAAACATTCCTTTATATATAAGGTGATGATTAGCAGCGGTGGACTGGAGGAAGAAAAGGTAGTGAGGTTTATAAAAGTGAACTATGCTAGGTTTCGAAACTATTGTAACTCATTTTTACGTGAATAAATATGACAGTTCTAGAATGAAATGAATCTCAAACAATTTTTCAACGACGCATTTACTGCCACGTCTTACATAGAGATTTCAGAACAATAGCAAAAAAAATTCAAGAGACATCTCAGGAGTTTTTCGGAAGGTGGACAAAGCTACGAGGTAAGGTCTCAATAAAACTCTGCCGAGCTTCCCCTTTCCCTCATCCCCTCCCCCCCCCCCCCCGCAATAAAATTTCTATAACGCCAACGCTAATTAGTGTCCAAGCAAAAAACGACATAACCAACCTTGCATCAGTGGTTCCACATGTAAGGCATCACCATACTTCGGACAAAATACTAGTGTTGGAAATTTCAATTGTTTTGCCTGAAAATTTGGTTCTAAGGCTTTTGAATTTTTCATTAGTAATTTTTATCAATATACCGGGAAAACTTTGAGTCTGGTACTGAATTCATTTCTCTTAAATTCTTTCATGCTTGAATTCATGAAAATAATAGAAACCACGCAACATATGGTGATGACCACAAACCACAAGGTCTTGGTCTCTCGCGAGTTGGACTGTTATGAAAAATTATAATTATGCTAAGTATTATGAACAGCTGAACAGTTTTCTCACCATCATCAGAGCGCTTAGGCCATGCACCTCTTTCAACCATAAATACTTGCAGTTGCACCTAAACTCTGCTATTTCTTTTGGATCAGCAGTCGCCCCGGTGTCTATGGTTGTTTTGAAGCAAACATGTTCATCACTGAAAGGATATATTAATTTTGAAAACTCTATCCTTTTCAAGAACTTACTTGATATTTGGTTTGCGCTCATAAAGGGTCTCCATGAGTGTAAGGAAGTACCTGGCTTGAGTCAGTCAGAATGTGAATAGGTTAGTGAAATATGATACATCTGCAATCTGTTCCGACTGGAACGACTAGTAAAAGCGCATAGCAAACCAATTATGTATTTACATCATTGCGAATGCATCAGTGATTTAAGTATATAGCTACTGTGCAATCGGGACTTTTGATGGATTCGTCTAGAATTTGAAACTTGCAATAGCAAAAGATGGTTTTCTGCGACTTAGTCAAGCGAAGAGTATTCTTTTCAAATAAACCTTGTTTGCGCACATTTTACTCGCGGAAGATTTGAAATGTTTCAGAAATTTGCTTCTCAACTCTACTATTCCGGTGGGGGAATTTTATTGCAAATAGGGACTTATCAGTATTTTAATCGTAGCCTTACAGTATGGTACATATTGATATATTAGGTCGTCCCGAAGTTCTTGCGCACGATCATCAAAAATTCATAGCTTCTGATTTTTTCAACCGATTTGACTGCTTTTATTTTTTTGTGAAAGAGTAAGTCATGCTCTTTAGTAAGCATCTTAGCTGCTTACTAATGATCATCTGTTGCATAGATAGGAGCGATAGAAGAAAATTGGTCAAAATTTGCAGATTCTGCGTAGGGTCATAAAAAATCGGAAACTTGCCACAAAAGTCTGAGCAGTCGGTGCTGTAGGTTTTTTCACTAGCTCTTTCTAACTGTGCAAAGTTTGCGCTGACTGACCGTCTCTTCTTAAAGTCATGATTTAAGCGAAAAATGCCAAAATAAATCAAATTCGCCCTTTTGTATTGCTTGCTCGAAAATCATAACTTTTCATAGAGACGCTCAGTCGGCGCAAACTTTGCACTGTTAGAAAGAGCTGGTGAAAGAACCTACAATGCCGACTGCTCCGATTTCTGTTGCAAGTTTACGATTTTTTATGACCCTACACAGAAATTTCCAATTTTAACCAATCTTCTATCGCTCCTATCTATGCAACAGATGACCACTAATAAGCAGCAAATATGCCTTTATAAAGAGCACGACTTACTCTTTCATGCAAAAATAAAAGCAGTCAAGTTTGGAAAAATCAGAAGTTATGAATTTCTGAAAATCGTGCGCAAGAACTTTGGGGACCTAATATAAAGTGGTAATAAATAAGAGTCGTTTCGATAGCAATGTCGTTTTTATGAATATCACATCTGGTGGAACAAAGATTTTCAAAAGTTTCTGGGTAGCATTCGTCGGGGATAAAATCGTCATGATTCATGTTTTCATGCGCGCCACGCTGTACCCGAAAATGCTGCAATTTGACGTCTTGATATCTGCACAACCATTTTCCGTAATCGACAAAAAATCCAAACAAAAACTCTTCCTTTTGTAGGAAAAAATGAGCAAGTGTCCAAAATGCTCCTTCTTGCCTTTCAACATTACCACTTTCGAAGATGAGAAATCAAAGAAGACAGTTTTCCATAAAAGATAATAGGTCTATTATGTAAGGCATGGCTAGCTCTTCTCAGTGATTAAGGCATCTTAGCGCAAATGAACCGCCTCTCAAACGAGGACGAAAATGAATCAGCCATTCAGTTGTAATTACATATATCTCTACATATTCCGTTTTCTGAAAGCACTTTGTGAAAACTCCCTGAAACGGAGTCTTGCTAAAAAGCGATGAACTTTACAGATCCAACTTCCCGTCCTCTACTTAAGCACTCCCATTATAAAAGTCTCACCCACTATTGGTAATCACTAAGCACACCTTTTATTGGGTACTTCTATGAACGGACTCTAGGCGAACAATCTATTCCCTGAAACCAGATGGGCACGTTGTGGGAACTTTCCTCGCTGATTTGCTGTGCAGCTACAGAAGCTACTATTTTTTACCTTCTGGAAGCACATGTATGCCTATAAATCTTCTTCATCCTTTCCGATGCATAAGCAATTCCAAATTTCTCCTTTGCTTAACCTTACCTCACTGTTGAGGTTTTCTCACTCGGCTCTTGGTGAACGGGGTCACCTTGGTTCCGGCTCAGGTGTGAAGGGGGGGGGGGGGTGAGCAAATTCTCACACTATCGTACCTATGACGGTGAGTACAGGACGCTCATAATTCTTCAAAAAACTCGCCGGAGTACGCTGCAGTCGCCAGAGAGTGTGCTGTGCGGCAGAGTGCGCCGCACTCTACTAGAGTTTGCCGAAGAGCAGCGGAGTGCGCCGCACATCAAAAGTCTGTCGGAATCCGCGTCGCATTGCCATATCTCGCTTCAGAACGGACAAATTCTGAATTCTGAATCTAAGGATACCGTTAGATCAGCTCGGTGAGATGCATCATCTAGTATATAAAAGTGCCACGTTCTATCAGGGTACGATAGGTATACGGTAGACAGTGTTTTCGCCCAATTTTGCAGATTTTTGTTTGGTTGGATTGTTCAGTGTGCTGATAACAGTATTGCCACTGATTTGTCGAGGATGACAAATAGTAGGTATACTGTAGGAGTATGGGAATGAGCCACTCTAATCAAACTTGTTCTAAAATCAGCTCTCAAGGTACAATACCGCTCACAGAATGTGCAAAATTTTCGTGAACCCCTTCCGAAGTTCCGGGAATTCCGCGAAAGTCCGCGATAATTCGGGAATTTTGCGACATTCCAAAATTAGTGGAATCACGGAAATCACGCAGAATACGCAGCGCCAAAGTCTCCTTGGGAAAATACATTCTGAATCCGGAAGCAGCATTATGTTTAACTCGTCAAGGCAAATCTTCTGATGTACAGCTTGCCCTCGATATTCTGCTTTCAGATTTCTCAAATTCTTCTGCGGAGGTTCTTTCACAAGGATATAATGCAGCGCCTGTGTAACATAAAAGATTCCAGCAAGTACTGTTCAATAGTACTGTTCAAGTAGGTTATCGTGCGCTAGAAAGTAGACGCAAAATGCTGAAAGAGACAGAAGCATTGGTGAATTTTGGAAAAATCACGCGTTTTCAAATTCTACTCGCCATAACCCTAGAATACAAAGCTATCTTGCTGCAGGTGTGAGTTCTGTGATACCGGATTGGATAATTTCTGTGAGCAAGTTTTCAGAGAACTTCGGGTTATTTGATTTATTCTCGTTTCACGCTCAGCTCGCCAGTGGGTTTTGGTCAGAATGTTGATGATCTTGGTTTGGAAGGAAAATCCGCTCATAGAGGTTTTCGACCACGCTGTTATGAAAATCTTGGTCTCTGTGAAATATAAGGTTTTTTTGCGGATATATGGTGGTGAGAAAACTGTAACGGAGTCACGAAAGCTCGTAATTTCGCCTGCACCTCTCGCGTATTGTCAGAGAACTTGCTTGCTTCTTTGTGAAGGTCAAAGTTACTAGGAACTGTGTCATCGAGTGGTGCATGCCTCAACCTCCAGTCTTTGAAAATCGTCGAGTTACATATCTAATAAAAAGGAAAGAATCTATGAAAATACATCCTCATGCGTTTTCCCAAAATGTAAAAATCGCATATTTTTTCGGAATTCCACCGTGAGTGGCTGCATAAAACGCTGATGAAATCTGTCCTCATCGCTCAATGGATCTTCCAGTGTTGGAGATGATGGTTAGATAGATCTGAGCTCTAGCCATGAAGCTGATTCACTCAAGCAGCTGAAGCGCAACAACCACCATATTCAAAACTGTGAAATCATTTGGGCAAAGTGAACATAATAATTGCAATCAGACTGTCATAACCAGTCACGGTGGAATTTCGGAGAATTGCGCGATTTTTACAATTTGGGCAAAATTCATGAGAACATGCATTCGTAGGCTCGTAACTCGGCGATTTTCACAGACTGAAGCCCAGTTCATGCACCATTCGATGGTACGGCTCCTATAAGTTTAATCTATAAAAGCAAGCAGAAGTTTGCTGACAGATCACGAGAAGACGAAGCTACGAACCGAACTTGCGTGACTCAGTTACAGTTACCTCGCAGTATTTCTGCAAAAAGACAGTGTATTTCTCAAAGACCACGATTTAACACCTGTCCGAAAACCTCTATAAGCGAAGTTTCCCTACGATCCGAGATATTATCAACATGACCAAAATCCATGGGCGAGCTTAGAACGTAGTAAGACAAAAAATGAAATAACCCGAACATATCGGAAAACTTGTTAATAGCGATTATTCGTCCTGATGATTAGGAGCAGTGCGCGCTGCCTTACACCTTTGCAAATAAACGTCCGTAGAAAGATTCAAGAATGCTGAAATTGGAATATCAGGGACGTGCTGCATATAAAAAGATTTGCCTTGATGATCTGGGCACAATGCTTTTTTCGCAATCAGAATATATTTGTTCCGTAGGAAGTTACGGAGAGTAGAATTTGGAAACGCATGATTTTTCTAGAATCACGAACGCTTCTGTCTCTTTTGAAGAGCATTTTGCGTCTACTTTCTAGCGCACGATAATCTACTATAGCAGTACTATCGAACAGTACTTACTGGAATCTTTTACGTTACACAGGCGCTGCGTTACATCCTTGCGAAAGGACTTTCACAGAAGAATATTTGAGACATCTGAAACGAATACCGAGGGCATGCTGATTGCCGTGATTCCATGGGTTCTGGATTGTCGCGTAATTCCCGAAATTTCGGAAGAGATTCACGGAAATTTTGCACATTCTGTGAGCGGTTGTACCTTGAAAGCTGATTTTACAAATTTGATCAGAGTGGCTTATTCCCATACTCCTACAGTATACCTACTATATGTTATCCTCGACAGATCAATGGCAACGTTACCAGCACATTGAACAATCCAACCAAACAAAAATCTGCAAAATTGGGCGAAAACATTGTCTACCGTATATCTACCCTGATAGAATGTTCGCCGAGCTGATCGAACGGTATCCTTGGATTCAGAATACAGAATTCGTTAATTCTGGAGCGAGATATGGCGATGCGACGCGGATTCCTACAGACTTCAGTGATGTGCGTCGCACTCCGCTGCTCTTCGGCAAACTCTGGTGGAGTGCGGCGCACTCTGCCGCAGGGCAGCGCACTCCGGCGACTTTTTTGACGAATTATGTGCGGTATTGTACGCGCGCGTCGCGTTCGCGACGACTAATACTGCTTCTGCACCTTCGCCATGCATTAGCCTTTACATAGAATCGTCTTCAGCTTGTATTGTTATCAAAGAGCAGTTCTCAGAGTAAGGTGTATCAATAACAGGTATCAAAACATTGGCTCCTCACATTCATTAATTTCTACGAGAGCAGGCGTTATGAACAGCGCTTCCTTCAGAGAATACTTTAGACCATTCAAAAATGTTACAGTGCAATGTGCCTGAAAGAGAGTTGGTATTTGCACTTCCTTCAGACTAGAGCTGCAATTAACAACTATTTGCTTACCATCTCGAAATGATCTTACAGCGAACCCATAGCGAATTTTGGTACAGTCGATGTCAATTATGTACTCCCTTTTGCATGGGAACTACGCATGCGCAACGCAAGGTTGCTGCATGCAGACCTCCAATCGATAAGGCCCACTTGAATGCCCGAGTCATACGCGCGCGAACGTGACGCGAAGCTCACTGCATTTACGGAAAAAGGAGCACGTAATTGACACGGACTGTATGTACACATAGGTCACTTCAAAGGGCTTTCTATTACTGGCACTTCGGATGTCACTACAGACAACGTTTTCCGCTAAATCGAACGGAAACTCCGTGTTTCAGTTTGCTACAACAATTTTAAATACAAGTAAATCGCGACAAATCGGTCTTTCTTCAGCATCGTTGAAAAAAAATAAAAAAAGCTTTTGTAGTCGAAAATACCAACTTTGAGGTGCTATCAATAGATATGTTGAGGATATATCAAAACTTAGGTGACGAAACGGACCTGGAGAAACGAATCTTTGAATTGAAATGAATTTGTTGAAGAAGGGATCTAACGTAAATGTATGCATGTTGTGTTGAGACATAAACACTCCGCCTTTATTAACATTCTTTATTGACTTGAATTTAACGGTACAACAATGCGACGTTTCAATAATGTTTTGGCGACATCATGGATGTACTTTACTATTGCGAGTAATATTTGGACAAATGTCGCCAAGGAACTGCCAACAAAAAGACCAGTTTGTCCACCTAACTGAGATAAAAAGTTTAGCGGTGTTGTGAGGCGTATTTCCTTGTATTCCTCATACTGAAAAAGAACAGATAATAATCATTAGGTGGGCATAAAGCTCACCTGAAGTTCACCAAAAGAAGCCTCTGCTAAGTAGGCAGATCTTTTTGACGGGGGACTTCGATTGATACTAGAGTGCAATCTGTAGTGAATCTCGGTGCGCTCGCAAGCCGGAAGACACTATAAAGATTGGATTCAACGTAGGTCTCCTAAATAGAGATTCAGAAACATTGTAATCGTCATTTATTGGAGCAGTAATGTCCTTGTAATTTTGTACGACTGTTGCTATATCGCAAACTGTTACGTTCTCCAGTTGTGCAATCGCGATAAAGGGCAGTATAGTGCAATTGAATGGATTGAGAAGCCTTTGTTCAATGATTTTTCGCACAAGGCAAGTCGGCTTACCTAAACAAAGCGTGCTAAAGTAGATCAATTATGTAGAACTTCCGTATATAAATTTTCAAGTCACAGTTTTTGTATGAAATTGTGTATGATAGCAAAAACTGCTTACTCTCATTGACTGAACATCCGTTGTGTTTGGGTAGCATGGACACTCTTCTTTGTGCGAAAACAAAACGATTCCAATTGCCATAACCTAGGTACACTTTAGGAACTGGCCCCACTTCTGAATCGAAATCACGCAAATACATCACCAGTTGTTGCTAAAGACAGGTTGTAGCTGAACGCGAAGGGCTAAAAAACAGCAAACCCTTGTTGCCTCTCCGAAAAGTTGTCCTTGTTTGACTTCATTGAAGTTCAGCATAATTTTTCCGCTTTCATCAAAGTCCTCCTGGTAGTAGTCATCAATGAGATTGAAGCATCTACGAGTAAAACCAGTTCTTGTAGTTATCGGGTTGCAACCGAGCTTCCTTAGCTGATCACCGCATAAAAAGTGCTTGTGCAATTATATCTGATATGTTCGTAAGTTTTGCCTTCTTCTATACTTCTCTTTCTTCGGATGTGCGCATTCAAGCATGGCAAAATGTAGATTGTAATGTAAGCTTTTGCGCACAAACTTCGATTTTTGAACACGAAAAGAAATTAAAGCATTTCCGAACTTAATGAACTTCGAAGACTTATGAGACTATCGGCAAAAACGAAGCCGCAAAAACCTAGACCAAACAAACAGACCGCGCACAACTACCCAAATTGTAGAAGTTGAATCATTTAGATTCACCCCCCCCTCCCAAAAAAAACGAAATAGGATTCAAAGACAATTCGGAATTTGACGTTCCTCAAAAAGAAATGGAATTCACATACGGGATCCTTACGAAGTTAAACGTGACACTGTACGCAAGCCTGCTCGAACAATCGTCACTGACTAATGAGTCGAAATCATAGAATTAGGCGAAATGCATAGTAGGATAAAGCTAACTGTTGAACACGGATGTCGTATTTATCCATCTATCTGGGTAAGCGCTTAGTATTATTATATGGATACCATACAAGGAATACCGGTCAAATCTTCATTGATGCGGCTAGCTAATTATTCTTTGGGCAGCGGGTCACACCTGCGCAATTGGGTAACCGCGCTATTCGGATTTGCTACGACAGATCATCTCTTCCTGAGGCCACTCTCGGTAAGCAAGATTCGACGTGCTTGCACCAAGCGAGAACTGTGCATTCGGGACCTGAGCGAGATGGATAAACATCTATCAGTCACCAACGATAGCGATTTCTTGCAATCGCGCGGGGTATTACCGAGGCTTTAAGGAAATCGTTAACGACATTGATTTTGAGATCAACGTTTGAAAATTAGCACTCTGACATAAAACATATTCCGAATGGCTGCGATCATTCATTATCCTTCCATATGAAAAGATGATATCGAACTAAAATGGGCAGCTAATTAGGCTCACGCCAAAATATTGTCCGAATGTCGGCACAGTAACACCATGTTCAAGGTCAAATCTACTAGCACGTATATATATATATCTTTATTCCACCTTGTCTTTAGATAAAACTGTTAGGTTGTGCAATAAGTTCTGTCCCATTTTTCTTTCGATTTTTTCACAGTATTTTGCACGGAATTTGTAAGGTGTATACATGCATTTGAAAGCTCTAAGTCTGCTCTACCAAAATCTTCACTTCAGTTTGCTTACAGAACACAGCTCGAAATCTGCCGAGCGTAACGAAAGAATGCTGTAGCTTCTACAGAGGTTCAAAAGTGCGAAAACGTTGCAAAAAATTCTTCACTCAGAAAAAGTTTTGTTTCTAATGTTTTCTCAATGTTGACATTGGGCATCTGAAGGCAATCCTTAGAAAGGAGTAAACGGATTGAGTTTGACTATAGAATCATCGAATTCATGGGTTAGTTAGTTAAATATTCAATGAATGGGGAAACACAGCTTAGGTAGGCAAGGCGACAAACATCGCCCCAGCAAATTTTTGCTTTGCCAACTTCTGAAAAAAGAGCATTAGAAAGTCGGTTCAGCGGAGGAATCAAGCACAAACAATGCCATTACAATTATAAGAGTCTAATAAGTTGTTCTGTTTGTTGTCAAGCTTGTTGAATAAAATATACCAACGGAAAACGGGGAAATTTGGAGAGGAAAAAGATGATGAAAATGAATTTTTTGCCTCTTCAGATTTTTTTTCTGATGCAAATAATCGTTCTCAATATCCTGCTAAGTTGAGGGATGAAAAACATATTACTAATTCGCAGAGCAGACTTAGACCTTTCAGAAGCATACACATTTTATTCCAAAATAGAATGAATATTGATAAAATCGAAAGGAGAAATGGGACAGAACTTATTACATAACCTAATAAATTAGCATTTTGTTGAAGAGATAATCCATCATGGTCTATGCCGAATCGTTTGTACGCGCTTGGCTGCCTCTATGACAACTTTGGCGAGTCTTTTTCAAAGTATTTAAACCTTGCTAATTCTGTGCCAACGCGTCTGAGGCAGCAATTAGGCTGCATGCGGTAGCACTTAGAACCTTGAATATATAATTTATAAGGCATTCATACTTCGTTAGTGAAACTCTTAGTAGAGGAGTCAAACTTGTGATGCTTTTAAGTTTTGTGAACAGTATACAAACGGCCATTCAATAAAAGATACCCACTAGTCTTGGCTAACACCAGATAAGACCAGTGCAAAGGGAACAATGCCTGGAGTTTTTCTTCGTGACTTTTGCTATCTTCAAGGCTATTGTTTAAGGCAGATGTGCCTTTTATTGATTTGAAGCGAAACGTTTTGCTGCATTTTGGTTGCAGTTGACTGTATATGCTTATCACTTCCTTCTCGTTTTCATGTCTATTCGTTCACTTTTTGATTTCAAATAAAGCTTGAAACTGCTCGCACATCTCGCCGACTCTGAGCCAAATACACGCGTCTCCCAGACTTTGACTTTCCAGAAGAATTTTCCTTTGAGTGCTTGCACTAACCTTGGATTTGTGCAACATATAAAATGCATTGAAAATGCGAGTGCAAACAGAACTCCACATACCACTTGCGTAGAAAACTCACAGGTCATTCAAGGTGTGAATACTAGGTTAGTAAAACTTCGATTTGTCACGATTATCATCTTTTGTCAAAAAATTTGCAAGCCACTAGCCTTCCTCTCAGAAGCACAAACGTTGGTTTGAACAGATTGCAGCAATCCAAATCTCCTGCCAGGGTACGACAACTTTGAAATAGCTGCAAATCTAATATTGCGTATTCCGTATGAATTAATATTTTGAATAAGCTAGACTTCTTTGCAAGTGTATCCATTCTCTACGAAAACGAAGTCAAACATTTCTTGCTGAGTGCGGTTTCCACGCCACCGCATAAAGATTCTGTTGAGCTTGGACCTACAACAAGAAAACTCTGCTAAAATGAAAGTTAGTTTGTCAAAATTCCATTTCATACACGTAATCAGGGCTCCAATTCTCTACAGCAACTTTGTCTAATCCACTCCCTGCCAAAAAATAACGTAGAACGTCATGAACAACCTCCTCATCCAATCCTTGTACTCTCGTTCGCACATCTGCAGTAAACATTTTCTCAATCTTGATCGAGAATTTGCCCCTGTCTTGATATCGAAGTGAAAGAAAATCGTGACAGATCTATACTTTGAGCTATCGACCAATTTATAGAGTACGGAGTCTTTGCTTACACTTTGCCTCTATCATAATACACGATTTTGACTCAAAAATAGGTAAGTTTGAGCATCCTCTCTATGGATTTCAACATTAAATGTCAACAATTATCAGCGAATATATGGAAAGTTTTTTCTGTAACTTTGAAAATCAACACTAAAGGTCATCAACTGGCAATGAATGTATGCAAACTGTATTCCAATGTGTTTTTCGTGTTTTTCGGCCACCTATGGGAACTCGAAAAGGTTTATGGAACAAGCCTCAACTATTTCTCTAGACGTCCGAAGTGAACCACAAACTTCAAGTGTTTATAAACAACTTGCCTTCCAATATCGTCTCTACATGCAGTGCATCAGAATATCTGGGACAAAACACTAATGTCGGAAATTTGAGTCTTTTTACCTGAACTGCACTTTAGACCGCTGAAGATTTGAGACATGCACCTACCGGATATATCTTGATTCGCGTGACTGCCGAATGTTCGCTGAAGTCTTTCATATTCAAATAGCCAAAGGCTATAGAAGCTGCGCAACATGTTGCCATCAATGCAGACCAAAACATCCTCTGACTTGGGGTTGTAGACTGAAAATATGATCAAATCAAGGAGTGTTGAATACAGGGTGCCCCAAAATTATGTACCCTCTGATTGAACTGTATTGGCGGCTAGAAGGCGACCGCTCGCTAGTGAATAAGGTAGAAAAGATTAAGGCAGAAGCTCAGAAAAGTGTTTTGAGTTGTCAAAAGGCATAATTTATTCCTAAAAGAGAACCAGAGAAGCTGACAACTACACTAGGTTAATCAGAGCCGCTGATTTGAAATGTGAAACTCGCATTTTGTCTCTATGCCTCTCTGATAACTTATGCCAGGGCCGGTAGTAATCCCCCCGACCTGACGGCAGGTCTCGTCGGCAGGCCGCTGGCACCTTTTCCGTGAGGTGGCCAGAAAGTGAAATCCCAAATTTTGGCCGTCCCAGGCCTATTTCCAAAAAATATTCTCGATAAAGATGTGTAGACTTCGACTCTGTAGAAAACTCCAGAGAAATCTGCAGTTCCAGAAATCCTTTTGTAGGAAAATATCTGGATCTTGTCCGAAAACATGTACTGCTTCTTGCGCATTCCCTTACCGCTTCTGCAGTCTATGAGCAATGCATTTGTAGTCGAGCGGTTAGAGTGTTAGTGTTCAAAGTCGACAGATGGAAGTTCGAATGTGCGTGGTGCAGATGTTATGCGGCGGGCCGGCAAATCCAGGATTACCTTGTCAAAGGCTTCGCCATGTGCGCAGCTAAGGTGTGGTCGATCGGTTAGTGCGCCGGCGCTCGAAGTCGTTGCATGCAAGTTCGAAACCGCGCAATGCGAATGTTTTGCGGCGGTTTGCCTGAGATCAGTCCGCGAGCTGCCGGCGGAGTTGGCATCTTTTCGCGATGTGTGCCAACTTGCCGGCGTTTATGATGCCACCAGGTAGGGTAGATACTACCGGCCCAGATGTACCGTGACAAGCGCTTTGCGCTCCTCAAAAGTTTGCAAGTTCTACGAGTTCCTGCTGCAATCCTATAATAATGAGGAGCGATAAATTGTTTGTATACTTAGAATCTAAGTTAAAGCGAGCTCTACAAAATAGTACCTTGAGACAGGCAAAAGACTTTTTGAGAAGAAAGATATTTGAACGATCAATCAGCGTTTACATATTTTTGGACACCTTGTAAAAGCACCTTCATGAAAGCTGCTAGACCATGCATTTCTCCAATCCACGGAAGATGGCAAGGACATCTATCATGAGCAGACGATGGCAACTCCGAAGATTTCACATCATCCTCAGCCCCAAAAACAAGAATTTATACGTCATTACTTTGACCGTTAGTTTGCACCTCTGGACGCAGTATACTCTCGAACGTTTAGTGTTTGCGAGCAACATTCTTCCTTACTTCCGTCTAAAAATGAGATGATTCAAAATCTCACAAAACTCCGTGCAGGCTCGCGTTCAGTCTGAAAATTAAATCGTTCAAGTCTAAAAATTTTGAAGTTTTTTTACGTATGAAAGTGAGTAGCTTAGGAACTTTAGTGCGCGTTTGCTGCATGCCTACATCCTCTCTTCTGAAGGGGGGGGACGCTTAGAGAGAGATGCAACTCAGAAGAAAGCTTCGTGATGTGGTACTTCAAAAATCTAAAGCATTTTGGCTATCCATTATTATTCTTCAACTACTTTACCGCTACACGAACACCAAAGACAAGAGAGGCACTATCTGAGATAGCAACGCTCTGCAAGCATATCTGCTTATCTACGTAACTCATGATCAAGTACTTTTCAATGCCATGCTTAGCAGGAAATGGTCAGAAATTAACCCAGCCATTCCAAACAAGCTGTATATCATCGGACTCATCTTAAAACGCTGATTTCAAACATATGTTTATTACCTGCCAAGCGACTATCTGTAAGGAGTTATGAGTGTTCAAATATAAGAAATTTATCGAGTTTCGCCTTGAAAGGCAGCCCGATGGCGCGGATTTACAGCGGCTATGGTTATTATGGTTAGAGAGAAGAAGTACATTTACCAAAAACCCGATTTCGATGATATATAGCATGTGTGGTATGGCTGAGTTAAGTTCTGACCATTTCCTGCTTAGTATTCAGTGAAGCCAACCGACAAAAATACAAAACGGAAATATATTGTGTACACTCAAAGAAGACCCTGTTGCGACTTGAAGCGGAAATATGAGTCGTATCATGTGATGTGAAATATTCGGCAGAAGCAACGCAATTACCAACAGAAATTTGAAGAACTTGTAAACACCTATGGGAATTTTTTTGGAAGCATATTCCAAACATTTAATATTAGAATAGATGATGTTGCAACTTTGATGAAGCTCCACCTCAAAATATTTTACAAAGCTTCCAGCTGTTGCAATGGATTATGAATATATGAAACTACGTGTAGTCATCTGCCGTATGTTTCTTACCGACCAAAAATCATGAAACAAAATGTTAGTGGAAGTTGGCTGTGTGAAGCTTTTTATCCAAATTTGATATTAGGTCTCAAAAGTTTTTTTTGAACTCATCATAAAAACAGGTAGAATAAAGAATAGCAAACGTTTCAAACACTATTCCAAGCAATTTTTTGTCCCTTTTCAGTTGTCATACTTATGATTTGGTTGTTTTCTTGGTCAATAATAAAGTTCGAAAACTTGACGAGGGTTTTTTGTCCATGTTTTCTCAAAAATTTCATCTCATACTTTTGAATGAGCTTTGATAAAACTTAGATAGAGCAAACAAAGCTTTATATGATGGATCATTTCGGAATCTTCAGCTGGATTTTTGGAGTTGCTGAGATTTGTTGAGGTGATCGCAGTCTTTACTTAGCCAAATTATCACAGTGAAGTGTCAAAATGTAACCAAATCCGGTATCATCTAGTGCAGCTTCTCCTTCTCTTTCTGTTAAATGTTATTCTCCTCCAGCAAATACCGTTGTATTTTAGATCTCGCCCAAGGCTGTACCAACTTCTAAATTCGATGTTACGCGGCAAACGCTCATTTGACTTAAAATTAGTGCTAAATGGTAATCTATTTCTGGGAGTTTGTTGCGCTTGTGTATGATATTGCTTCGCAAAGTGAAGATTTTGAGAAACATCTAAAAATGTCCAAATACTTAGAAGCTGGAATGCCCGAAATTTACTATCACTTCGTTGATTCTATCCAGCTGTTACCAAAGCAAAACTGTGAAATAAAGGACTATAATCCATGGGTTACAAATCCGGGTGATTATATCAATAAGCCAGAGGACTACAATACCGCTCACATTTTTTGAAAAGTAGACGCGAATGTATGGACATGTATGGACATGCCGCTACATGTCCATACATGTACCGACATGTCCATACATGTCGCTACATGTCGATACATGTATGGACATCACCGTCGCGTGGCCATATCTCGCTTCAGAGTGGACGAATTCTGGATCCGAAACAACCATTCGATTCAGCTCGGCGCGGAGAATCTTCTGATATATTGGAAGTGGGGGCACAATGTCTTCGATATTCCGTTTCCTGTTTTCGAATTCTTTTGCGTAGGTCCTTTCGCGAATATGTGAAGCAGCGCCTATCCAACATAGAAGATTTTACTGTGTTTTTCGATGATACTGTTCTTTATTTATTTTATTTATTTAAATATGCACTATAAGTGCGCCAAAAGAAATAGGTTGACAGAACTCGATCGTATAAACATAACTGTCACACTTCCACTCCTTATACTTACACTTGTTGCAGAACGCAACTATCAGAACCGCAAGTAAAGAACGATTAAAAAAAAAGGGGGGAGGGGGCTGAGGCCGAAATTACTCGCTCGCAAATGCAGATGATTAGCATTGGGGAATGCCACCGCCCCAAGATTATTAATGCTTCGAGGGCGTCCAAGATTAGCCTGGTCCACGTTAGGTATCCACCAACCTAACAGTCTAGTCCCAGATAAATCTGCAGTCCAGTCCAAGCAGAAATAGCGTCAAAATCAATGCATTCAAGATATCGGATAACAGTACATGGAAGGTGTGGAAAGTGACAGATCAGTTTAAAAAAAGCACCGAAGGTTAGTAATAAAGCTTGAAAACATTTAACAAAAATGTTAGTTAACAATCACAGCAACGATCACATCCTAAATGGCCAGTGCAACTAGCGGGATAGAAGGATACCGACAATCTGAAACGAAAGAAAAGCAAACGAACAAAAAATTAAAAGCTTTCTGATTCTTTAACCTGCAGCAAGTCCATTTGGTTTAGCTTGCGCTTGAAAGCCGTTACGCTCTGCGCTGATAAAACAGAGGGAGGCAACTTGTTGAGCCACCTAGATAATCTACAAAAAAGACTGTTAAACATCAAAAGGAAACGCTTCTTTTTAACTCGAAAATAATGAATGTTGAACCCACCCATCCTGCAAGTTGGTCTAAAAATCAATATTTGCTTGCATTTAGTCTAAGTTCTCTACGTATAAGCCGGAGCAAAAATCAGATCAAGAAAGATTCTTCTGCATTTTGAGCTTTTCATCGTCAAAAATCTGAGCCGTTCTTCATACTTTGGAATTTCAATGAATGTCAATGTTCTACGACATCTCAAAAAGAGGATACGGGTAAATGTCTGCTGAACTTTCTCTAATTTAGAGATATGCTTTTTCAAAAAGGGATTCCAAATCACAAAACAGTATTCGAGGTGCGGTAACACATACGCTTTATATGGCCGTTTCAAAATAATTGGGTTATCTGTATGAAGAGATCGAAGTATAGCGAATAAGACAGAATAAGCTTTCTTTATAACATAATCGATGTGATTGGAAAACTCAAGCTCAGAGTAAACTAGAACGCCCAAATCCTTGGCAATGAAACCCTTCTTTAGAAGAATTCCATTGATCTCATAATCAGGCTGTTCATCGTCACCAATATGCATTACGGGACACTTCTCAGTTCAATGGTATACCAGAGCAAGAAGTCCAGTCTACCATTACCTCTAACGACCTTTTTACCTCAGACTGAACTTCGACCCGGGTTTCTCTATAATAGATCCCGTATATCTTAATATCATCCGCATACACCTGGATTGTAAGATGAGCAGATGTCCTTAAGAGAGACGGGAGCTCGGCGGTGTACAACAGGAATAGTAATGGAGAAAGTACTCCTCCTTGAGGAACTACACTGCAGCAGACATGTCTTGTTGAAAACTGTTGTCCTACTTTGACTGTCATTCCTCTGTTGCTCAAGTAAGATCTAATCCAGCTGAAAAGATTACCTCTTAGACCAAACTGTTCTAATTTGTATATTAGCTTGCCATGTTCTACTCTATCAAAAGCTTTTGACAGATCTACGTAAAACAACGTCTGCAGACATTCCTCTGTTCAGAGCTAAACTAAACGGAATCTGCAAGGTTAGTAGCGGTGGAAGACCCCGCCATAAATCCATGCTGATTCGGAGGTATAGCATCTTTTCCAAGCCATGACATTAGCTTTTTAGAAATTACTTTCTCCATTACCTTTGCTGCAGTAAGGGTGAGATTTATAGGACGGAAGTCTGAGACAAAGTGAGCTTCAGAAACTTTAAGAATTGCCGTGACTAATGCCTCTTTCCAGATCTGTGGGACTTTTCCTAGCATCATAGATATACTGAAAATGTGTGTGAGAGGGATGCAGAGGGATGAGGCGCACTTTTTGAATACAATCTGTGGAATACCATCATATGTTTCACTAAATGATGGCCTCAATCGGATCAGGATCTTGAAGATACTGGAGGAGTTAAGAACACATTTGCTAGACAGCTGCGGCGAGAAAGTGTGGGCATAAAATTCTGCTCATCTACAGCCTGGTCAGTAAAGATGAACACGCTACTAAACTGGCTAGTTAGAGCATTTGCTTTCTCACTATCTGTATTAAAAAGGTGGCCTGTTCGATCAGTTATGTTTGGCAGATTCCTGCTTGGTTTAAGTTTTCCATTGATATAGTGGAAAAAAAAAACTTCGATGAAGCTCGAGCAGCTAATCTTTGCTCATAGTTGGCCAGAAATTTCTTCAAATAAAAGTCAACATCTTGGCATACCTTTTTAAACATGCTGTTAGATAACGGATCAGCTAAGGACAAAAATAAACGTTCCTTTTGCTTCAAAAGATTTCGAATATGCGTAGGGTAATTTGGATGAGCATGGACTACAAACTTGATCGGCATGTATTGACGCTTCATACATCATCAAGTAGAATCTATAGTACACATCATCTACGGATTCGTATTGATCAAATAAGCGTAGCCAGTCAATATCAGCAAGATAGGCGTTTAGCGCAATATAATCAACCTTCCGATAGTCAGCTGTAGGCAATAAGATTGTAGGGGCAACATCTGCTACCACAGAAAAGTGGACAATGCGATGGTCAGAGTTTGCAAGCGGAGCCATAATGCGAACATCCGAAAC